GAGTTGTAGACAAACGTCACATAAGGCAAAGTGGCATCCCAATCACGATGATCTGTGGAGACATACATCGATAGCAATGTCGTCAGTGTGCGGTTAAGGCGCTCAGTGAGTCCATTTGTTTGCGGGTGGTAGGCAGTGGTGAGTTTAAGACGTGTTGAACACGAACGAAGAATGTCGTCCATGACCTTAGAGAAAAATGAACGACCACGGTCGGTCAGCAGTTGACGCGGTGCTCCATAGTGAAGAATAACGTCATGAAGGAGAAAGTCCGTGACATCAGTAGCACAGCTTGTTGTTGGCGCTCGCGTGATGGCAAAGCGTGTCGTGTAGTCTGTAGCCACCACTACCCACTTATTCCCACTCAGATACGTTGGAAATGCTCCAATGAGATCAAGGCTGACGTGGTAGAACGGGTCTGTTGGAATGTCGATAGGCTGAAGTAGGTCTGGTGGTGCCAATGAAGGACGCTTGCGGCGCTGGCAACCTCACAAGATGCAACGTATCGGCGCGCAGAGCGGTAAAGGCCGGGCCAGAAGAATCAACGCCGTACGCGGTGACACGTGCGGGCTGCTCCGAGATGCCCAGCAGTTGGGGCATCATGAAGTTGTTCGAGCACAGTGGAACGGAGCGTTGCAGGAACTACCAGAAGAAGTTCTGGGCCTTCTGTGCTTGTGTTGCGAAGGTAGAGAATTCCGTCATGAAGCGTGAACAGGCGAAGGGAAGGATCCGAGGTGTCAGAAGCTAGACGGCGTACGATGGACTGCAAATTGGCATCACTGAGTTGTTCCCTACGTATGTGTGTGAAATCAGAAGTGGGAACACACAAGCATCAGAACCGGGCGCTGACAAGTCAGGGGGATCGACGGGATGGCGAGATATACAGTCGGCATCGTGGTGCATTGGGCCAGATCTGTAACTCACGTCAAAGCTATATTCCTGTAGCTTTAAAGCCCAACAACCCAGGTGTCCAGAAGTATCTTTGAGGGAGGACAACCAGCACACGGCGTTGTGATCAGTGATGACCAAAAAGTGGCGGCCGAACAAGTATGGACGGAATTTTCCAACTGCCCATACAAGAGCGAGGCACTCGCGCTCAGTTATGGAAAACTTGCACTCGGATGGGTAGAGGAGGCGACTTGCGTAGGCGAATACACGATTTTGACCCTGTTGTCGCTGGGCGAGGACAGCGCCAATACCGTGACCGCTGGCGTCGATGCGAACTTCAGTGAGCGCTGAAGGATGAAAATGACCTAAGATGGGTGGGGAAGTGAGCAACGCAATAGGTCGGCGAAACGAGTTGGCTTGCTGGGGACCCCCGAAAAACGGCGTGTCCTTCTTCAGTAGCTGTGTCAAAGGATGGGCAATGTCGGCGAAGTTGTGGACGAAACGCCGGAAATAGGAACAGAGGCCTACAAAGCTTCGTACATGTTTCGTGGAACGTGGTATGGGGAAATCTTTTACGACGCGAATTTTGTCGGGATCGGGTTGCACGCCTTTAGTACTGACAAGATGGCCTAGCACAGCGATTGTTTGGTGGCCGAAATGGCATTTGAGGAGTTGAGTTGTAGCCCTGCCCTTCTGAAAACTTCCAGAACAGCTGACAGATGGCTAAGGTGACTCGAATGGTGGCGAGAATACAATGATGTCATTGAGATAACAGAGGCACGTTGACCATTTGTAACCCTGTAACAGGGAGTCAGTCCATCATTCTCTCAAATGTAGCGGGAGCATTTCACAAGCCAAAGGGCATTACCTTAAACTGGAAAAGTCTATCCGGTGTAACAAATGCAGTCTTTTCACGGTCTAGTTCATCGACGGAAATCTGCCAGTATCCTGAACGCAGGTCGATACAGGAGAAGTAGGCAGACCCGGGCAGGCAGTCGAGAGCATCGTAAATCTTTGGCAGTGGGTTGACGTCCTAGCGCGTGATCTTGTTTAAGTGACGGTAGTCGACGCAGAAGTGCTAGCTGCCATTCTTTTTTTACTAGAACGGCTAGTGAGACCCATGGACTGCAAGATGGTTCAATAACGTCTTTTGTGGGCATTTTATCAACTTCACGTTGGATGACTGTCGCTCTGCATGTGACACGCGATAAGGACGTCGTCGAATTGAGCTGGCGTCTCCAGTGTTGATCCTGTGAGTGACAACTGACGTCGTTCCTAAAGGGCTGTCGCCAAAGTCGAAGATGTCCCTGAAGATGCCAAGATATGCCGGAGATCGGCTGCCTGTGCTGGAACAAGGTCTGGCGTGATCATCTTGTCAAAGTCGGCATGAGTAGAGCTCTGTGAAGAGGATGCAGTAGCGGGCAAAGGAGCGTCTGCAATGAATGCAGAAACATAATGTTCACTGCTGGAAGAGACGTTGGCTAAAGTCATGCCACCTGGAACAGCTTGAGCACACCAGCTGAAGTTCAGTATCGGTAGTGACGCCACAATACTCGTAATCGTCAACTGAGTATGAGAAAGGGCAACATTTCTGTCTAATAACACGTCCAAAATCAGTGCCAGCACATAATCGCCATCGGGTACCGGAGGAAAAGACCTCATGGTTACATAGGTGACAGCTTGGAGCGCTAGGCGAACGTATTCGACAGAACACAAACGTGGTTGAGGTGTACTTGGAATCTCATAGCAATAAGGTAGGTCAAGCTGAAGTAAGCCTATTCCACAGTCAATTAAGGCAGAGTGCGCAGCAAGAAAGTCCACGCCCAGGATAAGTTCATGAGAGCACTTCTCGAGCACGGCAAAAAGCACAGTTGTGGAGCGGTCAGCAACACTAACACGTGGGAAGCACATCCCAAGCACAGGAAAAGTTCCACCGTCGGCGACTTGGATGAGCGGCACTGTGGGCGGGGTTAAAACCTTTTAAAGACGGCAGCGAAGCTCCGAGTTCATCCCCGAAATGTGGAACCCTGTGTCTACAAAGGCAACAACACATGCATCGTCTATTTTAATGTCTATGAGGTTGCGTCGTGTCGGCATAGTCAGAGGATTTGGGTGGCGAATCGTCGATACAGCATCACCTCTGGGAGCTGCATCATCTAGTTTTCTCGAGCTAGATGTGCAGTCGGTGAAGGACGGCGAAATCGGGGTGAGCGCGACGATGAGTGACGAGACAGCGCTGAGCGGGACTGGTGGCCGGGAAGGGATGGTGACCGACAATGCACCGTTGACGAACCGTTACCACCGGCTGGCCGAGGCGACTCGTGGCGAGTTTCGAAGTGGCCATCATCTACCTCTGCACGACGATTGTAGCCATAGGAAGGCTGACGCCAATACCACCTGCTATTGAAAAGCGGGCCACGTGACCAACACGATGGCAGTTAAAGCAAATCGGTCAGTTATCAGCAGTCCTACACTCAACGGGATTGCGAGAGCGCGCTGGAAACCTCTGGCCTTGGGCGTAGGAAACTGTCGGACGACGGTCAGTCGGTCGGGAGGGGCCGGCGGTGCACACAGATTCTAGGCCAACGTTCGAAAGCTTTTGGCGAACGATGGCCTGTACTAAAGGCACGATTTGGGAGCTGGACTCACAGGCACGAGAGAAAGTTGAAGCAGGAAACATAGCTTCAATTTCTCGACAGATGATCTTCGTGATGTGCTCTGCAGTCAGCGTTGCCTGTGGTACAGGCATGTCTTCGCACAACCATGTTGCTGCGGTGTTGGGAAGTCGAGCAAACTGATGGAAATACATCGGCTCTTGGCGGCCTGAAAACGCTGACACCCTCGGACACTGGCATCTGCTGTGTCACAGTCCTTGCAGATAAGCAAACTGAACGCGTCATCAGCAATACCTTTTAATATGTGCGCTACCTTCTCGGACTCCTCCATGCCATCGTCTGCTTTGCGGCAAAGGGCAAGCACGTCCTGTATGTAAGACAGGTGAGACTCCGATGACGTTTGAGCGCGAGATGCCAGCTCCTTCTTGGCCGCTGTCTTCCTGCCAGTCGATTTGCGAACACTTCACGCATCTTTTTTTTTGCACTCATCCCAGCTGCCGATTTCCGCTTCGTGGTTCTCAAACCACACTTTGGCTGTCCCCTTCAGGTAAAATAGGATGTTCGCCAGCATGAGCGTTTCGTCCCAGCGATAATTCCTGCTTGTTCGCTCGCACAGCGGCAACCATTCTTCAATGTTGACGTTGTCGGTCCCGCAGAACGTGCCTGGGTCTTTTAGCTGGGGCAGAACAGTTGTCGTCATTGCGGTAGCCGCTGCGGGAGCTGGAGCCGGACTCTCTTGTGCCATCGTGGAAGAAACCAAGTGTCGGCCGCTGCGTAGCTCCGTCTTCTTACCCGGCACCACCACCAAAATGTCATGGGGTGAGGGTAGGCAGAGGGTAGAAAGTTATTTACCGATTGTAGACGGAGTACACAGTGTCCTTGAATCAAGATGGCGGAGTAGCAACAACCCCCCACGAGCTTTTTTTCAGTCGTCATGTTCATCACCGTTATGGCACCTTTGATGATGTTAATGATAACTTGTATCAATATGACTAGCTTTAATGGCATTAGCGTACGTGTAACTTCTCTAGTTCTGTTTGTTTCGTTTATGTGTTCTTTTAACTACTTCATATTTCGCCTAAATTTATATATTTTTTGTCTGCTTCTGCTTTCTTGCCTTGAAGCTTTACCTCAATGGAAGCAGTCACCACTCTTTTGAACCAACCCTAGATTGAAGACCGAAACTAGATGTAACCTAAATCGGAAAACTCCGTTTTAAAAATTTCGACTGACATTCTGAAGAAACCACGCAGAAGATGGGACGTCTCAAATGGTACATTTTTATTGTTATACAAAGCATAGAAGCGATGAAGGATGGTAGACAGTGCCGTTAGAACTTAATAAGGTGCTTCATTGGCGTTATAATGTAGTTTACATAAAATATCAATCCCCTTCATAGACCTTAGCAATGAATCATTCTTTCTGGCAACTGCGCTATCCACTCTTTTCGAATATCTCGATTAAATGGCAATGTTGCGCACTTGTTAAAATTCCACCTACCTCGTTAATGTACCTGCTTCCGAAATTGGCAAAGTTGTCGGCGAGTAAGGAGCAAATGCCCCGCGTCGCGTATCCGCAGAAGTGACGCACGAAGCCTGCTATCGGCATTCCCTGAGGCAGCACCTCATAGCTTCCCGCGGCGTGGGCCAGTCGCTGTCAAGATCAAAGGGAAATCACGGTACATCACGAACACCGAAAACTTACATTCACCGCTCGGTTCATCACATACACTTGGTTAAGTGATCGCTACACGCACACACACACACACACACACACACACACACACACAAACACACACACACACACACACACACACACACACCGATGCATTGGAAACAAGTGCGCGAACAGGACGAGAGCTGACTACTTTTAGTTTGCTTTTGCCAAGTCCTTGCACGTCTTCTACTTTCTTTTGCTTAGAGAATTTCGATAGTGCACCCAAACTAAAAGTCATGTTTAGCCAACAAGCTTAAACCATAGCTCTCTTTAGCCTACTCTAGAAGAAGAAAAGCACTGACTGGCTTGCCATAGTGTGACTGTACGGCTTTGATATACAACATATACTTATATTTTTTGAAGGAGAACTTACACTACCTTCCTGTATGAATGTGAAGGCATTGTTTTTAGCAGTTGTTTGCCATTCTTTATTGTGCTGAAATGCACGAGACACCCAAAGGTCATTATTTCACGCTACCGTACACGCGCCAAAAAAAAAAACAGAGCCGCACTGTAAATGTTTCCGAATTCCCCTGCATGTAGAATGCATCGGGTGGTTGTTTCACACAGACTTAGTTTTCAACACATTGCGCGCCTATCGATCGCGTCTTTTTTCTCGGTTATAAAACTCATTTCTAAACGAGAAGGCATATCAGCTCAGCGTTGTTTGCTATTGTTTGTCAGCGTTTGATTAACGCGTTTATTTCTACATTTCTTCGCTAACATCTGTCTTATGGAGAATTCTTACAAAGTTGACGCCGGCAATATTTGAGTACTGGTGATTATATACATATGACACACGTAACGCCAATAAGGCACGAGAAAATGTTGAAGGGACCTAAATAGCGGGCCAGAAACTTTTGATACAAGCCACGCTTATGTCACAAAGTCACATCCACACCATATTTCTTTCAGCTGTACAACACATGTCGATGTCAATCATCGTTGCGAGCCTTTGAACGGTCTTAGGATGTGAAAGTCCGGAAACGCGGGATGCGCCGTGCTTCCTCTGCGCGACAGAGTCTCTTCAAGGAATGGGTTTTTTTGCTACGGAAGCAAGAAAAATAGTGACAAGACTACGTTGTTGTGACTACGTTGCTCATGTATATAGAGAAAGCAAAACTGGCTAAAGTGGTGGTCTCTTGTAGCGCAGTGTTGTAGGCGTAAGTCATAAACAGTGAAATTTCGTCCCAGATTTTATGCTTGGAAACAACGTACATAGACAGCTTAGTAATGAGCATCCTGTTGACATGCTCAGTCAGGCCGTTGGTCTGCGGATGGTACGAAGCGGTGTGAGGAAACTGGGAAGCAGACTGGCAGGGCGACTCTTTCACGACGTCGGATATGAATTAACGGTCATGGTCGCTGACGATGGCACGAAGGAACCCATGCAGGAGGTTCATGTAGCGTAGTAGGAAGTCCGAAACGTTATCGGTCGTGGCGGTAGACATCGCGGTGGTTTCAGTATACTGAGAGAGGTGGTCAACAGATATTGATCCAGTGGTTCTCGGTGAACGATCGTAAAAAGGGGTGCCCCTCAAGTGAATACCGACGACTTCAAAGTTAAAACACGAAGGTGGTATAGAATGGAGAAATCCCGGCGGCGCACTCGTTGAATGCTTGTACCGTAGAAAATGCTCACAATTGATCAGGTATTTAGCTGTAGCCTGACGCATGCCCTGCCAGTAGAAACGATCTTGAGTGATGTGATAGGTCTTGGCAAACCCCCTATGTCTATGTGTTGGGTCATCGTGAATAGCTTGCACCACGTGGGTCGCAAAGCGTTGGGGACAACCAGAAGTAGGCGGGCTCCTTTTGCCGCAACATTTCGCGTTAAAGAATGTCATCCTGTATGAAGAGTGGGGATTGATGCGGTGTATTGACGACTGATGAAAAAAAGAGCCAAACTACGGTCTTGACGCTGTTCTGTACGGAACATTTCCAAAACTCCAAACCACAAGTCAACGGCGGCCAGTCATCTACATTGTTGGCGTCGTATTAAGTCGCAGGAAGGAGAAGTTGCGTTCGGCAGTCAGCGTCCGCATGACGGCGGCCACTCTTGAAGCACACATCAAAGTTATATTCTTGCAAACGCAGCACCCAGCCTTAAAGACGGCCGGAAGGTCTCGTTGACTAGTAAGTCAACAAACTGAGAGGTGATCTAGAACGATGCAGAGTCGGCAACCATTCATGTACAGCGAACTTGTGCACGGCGAAGACCGCTGTCAGACGTTCTTGCTTTGTAACCGTGTGATTGCGCTCAGCTTTACTGAAAGAACGACGTGCGTAGGCAGTGACATGTCCGGAGGCTTCGTGACGCTGAGCTAAGACTGCGCCGATACCGATTCCACTGGCGTGACTGTGCACCTCAGTTGGGGCTGATGCACCGAAGTGGCAAAGAATATGTTGGAAAGTGAGCGGAAACTTCAGTTGAGAAAACGATGACTCGCTGTCTTTCGAGCACTGGAATAGTACGTCTTTCTTTAGCAGGTGAATAAAAGGCTCAGCAACATCGGCGAAATTAGGAACAAAACGCCACAAATATAAACAGAGGCCATAGAAGCTTCGAAGTTCTCCTAGCGAGCGTGGTTGAGGGGAAGTGCTGACCACAGTGATCTTATGGGGAAGAGGCCAAACGCCGTGTTTGTATACAAGATGTTCAAGAACTATACAGAGTCTGACGATGACCAAAATAGCACTTTTCGGCAAGGTAAGTGCTGCTTTTTCGAGGCACGTGAGAACGATATCAAGGCGACGATTGGGTTCTTCAAACATGCAGCCAAATATACGTTATTCAGCAAACGAAGGCTTATTTCTCATTCTAAGCTACGAAGTACTGTGTCAATAAAGCACTCAAACGTGGCAGGAGCTTTGCATAGACCAAACAGCATGGCGTTAAAATAAAATAAGCCATCTGTACTTGCTAATTCCATCTTTTTCTTCGCTTCAGGGTGCATGGAGTTCGCCAATAAGCAGATCATAAGTCAACACAAGAAATATACGAAGCAATGTGCAGACAATTGACAATCTCGTCAATGTTGGGAATGAATATACGTTTTTTGTGACAGAGTAGAGCCGTCCGTTATCTACACAAAATTCGTATGAACAATCTTTCTTTTCACGAGTATAACAGATGCAGCTCAGCGGCTAGATGACTCTTTTATACTTATCTTGGCCATGATTTTTTTTACCTGCTCAGCTTTTAACTTTACGCTCAGACGAAGATGCTCTGTATGGCTTCTGGCAAATGAAGGTTGCGCGAAGGTAGTGCAGAAAATCCGTGGCTATTCAGTGCGAAATCAAAAACGGATGCATGGTTGCAGAGGACACGAACTAATGTTTGTCTCTACTCCGGTATAGTGACTTATTTAACATACACAAGATATATTATCACTGGGGGAAGCAACATCAGACGACTTTTCCTTTTTCTGGAGGTCGCTAATGACTGCAATGTTAACGTTGCCTGTGACGTGTAGTTTGAACAGAGCCAGCCTCATTCTACCTGGCATTACAATCGGCTTAAAAGAGGAGTTGACCACTTATACCAAGCATTTGCCACTACTCGCAGAAGTGACACACTGTGGTACCATGGCATTCTTCTTTGGACAGCTCAGCTGGATTGGATGAACTATAATGTCAAAGTTATCTGCTGTGATAGCACCACTGTCAACTAGCACTTGAACTAAGAACTGAGCTGGTAGAGCTATGTCATAATCGACTGCTATAGTAGTTCGTGGGCTCCTCGCTAAAAAGAGACAGTAAAACTTCCGCAGCAGCGCAGTCCACAGTGGCTTCACATTCTTTCAGAAAGTGCATCCCCAGGATAACGTCACGAGTAAAATCTACGAGAACTGCAAACTCTCCCTTAAAGTATTGAAAGTTACAGTTGCACTACACACTCCCACTAGGCGCGACAGTTCTCCACTCACTGCACAAACATTTTCTTGCTTCTCCAAGAAAACATCACTTTGTGACCGAGACGAGTCCTAAAATTGCTGCTCATGACGGAAGAAGTTGTTCCCGCGTCGACTAAAGTGACTTGAGAACGCCATCATTTAGTATAGGCAATAATTAGCGGCGTGTTGCGTGTAGCGCAATTAATGCGGCTGATGCAGAGCGCAAAGCCACTGCCCGACCCGTCAACTAACGAAGCTGGTCGGTTCCGCGAAGGCGAACGCGGGGGCCTGCGCATTTGAAATAAAGGAGACTCCTTCGTTCACGCGGTTCACGAACGGCGCCATCAAGGTCGCCCCCGTTTGGGACTAGAACGGGAAGGCTTACTCGGAAGAGCATCTGGCAAGAAGCAGGCCAGGCGCTGCCGTCTGAGTTTAAGACATTGTTGGCATGCACGCGTGCCATTGAGAATGGCGGCGGGACGCGACCACTGGGCTGACCGAGACATATTGGCGGCATAGAGACGAGCATATTCTGCCCCGCTATACGTCATTACCGAGTGTCGTTAATGCCGGAGCGCCTCGCTGTCGCATGCACACCTGGTAAGCGCACAGAGACCAACGGTGTACTCGCCGCTCTTAGGGAGGCTTCTACGAAGCAACACTTATTGAGAGAGCTGACGGCGCTCGAGCGTGAGAACGCCTGCCGACGGAAGTCGGCCAACGGAGGCAGCACGGCCTGACATGGGAGAGGGCGTGACAGGCTGAGAACCTATCCCCTCTCGTGTTATATTCCATAACGGAATATTTACCACTGTAGTGCCTGTATGAAAGTGTTTCTGTGATTGGTTGTAATGATTGTTTTATCCTGTATATAGTACCTGTAGTTTCGGTTTCTGTGTTTGAGTTGGCAACACTGGGTCCTTGTGATTGTATATATTTGTGGAACGTGTAATAAAAAAGCAGAGTACGCAACCGCTACCCGGGAGTGTGAGGCACGTCACTCGTTCACTACAATGGCGACGAGTGTTTGAACCCCGTCTG